TCAAACATTCCGAAAGTTATGAGATTCACGGTTGAAGCATCCCAGGGCAGGAAGATCTTCTGAGGCACCTTTGTTAAACGCAGTGGAAAGCTGTTGAGAGATTTGGCAAAGGATCCTCCCCCCCCCCGCAACCATTTTTGGGGGGAGTGGGAGGAGGTAGTTTTGATAGGTTAATCATATTTATTCCTCCATTCAATAATCCATTCACATGTGTTGCGTTGTGTGTGATTGGTTCTTCTTGGCCAACCTGAGCAGAAGTCCTGATTGATTGACAGATGGTGGGAAGGTTAGGGATGGTGTGTAAAATTCCAGAGATTGCAGCCATCTAAGTTCTACTTAGAGGAAACCGGCTGGAATGAATGGACCTAAGTTAACCATGCCTATTAATTTCAACAGGCTCACTCTGAGTAGGATTATGTTGGATACGAACCCAGATTTGGCTAGTTAAACCTGTCATCTGATTAAATGACTGATGGGAAGCCTGCGGCCCTCTCAGACTTCAGCTCCCATCAGCCCCAGCCAGCATGGCCCATACTCATAAATGGTGGGAACTGAACCACTGAATGGATTTCCATTTGAGTTGAGTATTCAATTAAGTAATAAGTGGCAGCAGTGGAGAATGGGCAAGGAGCTGGTTTGTTGTTGAATTAAACCTGCATGGTTTTGTCTATTGGGGTGGGCAGGCTTCAGCATGAAATGATGGGACATTTGCTTTGCTTGAACAAACATTCACCCAGTTCAGCATCCCATGTTCTGATCCACCCACAACAGGCACTCAAACGGCCAAGTGATGCAGTGGGTGAGGGGCTACAGGACTGTGGAAAGGTCCAGGTGAGCAACTTGCTCCAACAAAGGCTTTCTCATGCCCACCCACCCACCTGAAGAGTGTGAGCCCTTAAAGCAGTGGTTCTCAACCTGTGGGTCCCCAGATGTTGTTGGACTACAACTCCCATCATCCCTGACCACTAGGAATGATGGGGGTTGTAGTCCATCAACATCTGGGGACCCACAGGTTGAGAACCACTGCCTTAAAGGCTGATCCACAACCCCAGCTTGAACGCAAGCACTTCTTCTCCTAACCTCTCCCTTTGCTGCTGGGCAAGCAAAGTAGAGGAAGTACTTAAACCTTCAGGTGACTTGGCCTTAGGGGGAACTCACCTGCTGGGGTCCTGTCTCGCATTCCAAAGCCCCTGCTCACAGGTAGATTATCACAAGCCCACTCCAATTCACAAGTAGATAAGAGTGTAAGGAGAGCCCTGCAGCTGCATCAGGTCAAAAGCCCAACTGGTCCAGCAGCCTTTTCTCACAGTGGCCAACCAGATGCCCATTATGGGAAAGCCTGACAGCAGGACTTGAGCGCAGCAGTTTTGCATGTTTCGAATGGCTGTTCCAAACTCTTTTTCACCGATATGTGGTTTTACCCTTTTCGCAACCACTTTGCGGTTGTCGCTTTGCATTCGTGGTATATTAATTTTATGAAATAAATAGGAAATAAATGAAATGCTCTCTCCTCGCCTGTGATTCCAGCAACTGGCCTTCAGAGGACTGCTGCCTCTGATAGTGGTGGTTTAACACACCTGATGTGGAAAGTAGCCACTGATAGCTTTATCCTCTGGGAATTTGCCTAATACGCTTTCAGGCCCACCCAAGCTGGTGTCTGTCACTCCCTTTTGTGACAGCAGCTTAACCATGCAAAATTCTGTACCTTTGTGCCTGTCCTGAACCTTCCAATGCCCAGCTTCACTGGATGCCCATGAGTTATAGTCTAATCAAACAGGGAGAAGTGCTTTTCTCTGCCTTCTTTCTCCCCTCCATGAATTCCTCAGCCAGTGGCACAGGAGCCTTAAGACTTGGCTGCCCCGTCCTTTTTCCAGGCATGAGACTGGGGCCACGCCACAGCCAGATGCCTCTGAAAGTGTCCAAAGTAAACTGTTTATGCATCACATTCAGGATGTGAAAAACCCTTGCCACTTCATGCATCTGACACTTGGCTCTACAATAAATCAGCCAGATCTTTTACATGCCACAGCTCTCAATGCCTTTTCCACCGGCACCTCGCTAACAAGGCCGCTCTTCTGGAATCTGTCCCCATGGAAAGCATCACACTTTTGCCTTGTGAAGAGGAAATCCTCCACCCTCCCAACACCTTTGGGGTACAAGGGAGGAGGGAGTGGAGATGTACAATGGCAGCAGGAATGCCAGCGTAAGAACTCAGAAAGTCACACATGTAAGAGGAAGGAAGGTTGGGCGAGGATGATCTGGTTCCTAGCCAGATTCTTTTAACAATGCTCAGATTAGGAGAAGAGCAACATCCGGTGATTGCCATGAACATTATTTATCCTCACAGGTGAATGGGACCACCACAACTGCCAACCGGAAAAATGTCTATCCTTGCAGATCAAGTATTATATACAAAAGACACCACCAAGGACAGTCAGCGGTAGATACATGCAATGGTGGCTGGTGCTCACTGGGACTGATAGGGTGGAAGGCAGGGAGCTCAACAGTAGGGGGAGCCAGAGCCAATGACGGACAGAACCATTGCTTCCTACCAGCCCACGCAAGTTTGCAAGCCCTCCATGGCAGATCATGTGGATTCTAAGCTTTCGCATGAGATGAGAGGACCTGGCTGAGATGAGAGCAGACTGGCATTGCTAGGGCAGTTGCCACTGTGCTCTAATGGACCAGCCTCCTGTGGATATATGGAATCACTATTCAAAACAGAGGTGCTCAAAAATGTGAGCATCCATGCTCAGTGCAGAGGTGGCCTCATCCAAGGTAGGCACAGACCACCTGTTGAGCTCGCAGAGACTCGAACCACAGCTTGCACTCCTATCCAGGGGTCTACCAGACTCACAACTCCCACCTATAAAAGACAGCTCCATGCAGCCCAGGAAATGCAGGAGCTGAATGGTGCTGCCTGCTCTGTTCCCTCTTCCTTCTCTCCCTCTCTGAAGTACATTCCCCCTCTTGGGGAAGAAAGGGGGTCAGGAGGAACTGGGCTGCAAGAAGAAGAAGAAGAAAAGAAGAAGAAGAAGAGGAGGAGGAGTTTGGATTTGATATCCAGCTTTACCACTACCGGAAAGAGTCTCAAAGCGGCTAACATTCTCCTTTCCCTTCCTCCCCCACAACAAACACTCTGTGAGGAGAGTGGGGCTGAGAGACTTCAAAGAAATGTGACTAGCCCAAGATCATCTAGCAGCTGCATGTGGAGGAGTGGAGACGTGAACCCGGTTCACCAGATTACGAGACTACCGTTCTTAACCACTACACCACACTGGCTCTCGAGGAACTGGGCTGCAAGAGTGCTTCAGCCGATGCTTTAAAATGGGGTGGTGGTGAAGCTGTGGCCCTACAGATGTTGCTGGACTACAATCCCCATCATCCCTGGTCATCGGTCATGCTGGCCAGGGCTGACGGGGGTTAGAGTCCAGTAACATCTAGTTGGCTGCAGGTTTCCTACCTTTGCTTTAAAAAGTGTTTTCTATGAAGCAGCCCCACAGAGGTTTTTTTTTGGGGGGGGTGAGAAAGTGGATTCCCATACCTAGCTAAGAATGTACTTATCCACACAGAATGGCCAGGATACAGAGGTCTCAGCTTGGTGACAAGAGTCCCCTGCTTAAGAAAGCCTTGCTGTGTGAGTTTTGGGTTTTTTGTGTGTGTTTTTTGAGGTTAACACAGGTCCCAGTCAGTTTTGCTTTTGGACGGCTTCCCTGCCTGTTGAGAGAAGAAGTTCCTAAAACCAGCAGCGCCTTTCCGACAGGTTTAGTGGGAAGCAAATGCAACCTGTCAAGCAGCTACATCATGTGTTTGCCTTGACTCTCACCCAGGACAGGAAGCAAAAACACCAGCAGTTCCATTTATTGCCTGACCAAAAAAAAAAAAGGAGCTCTCAAAAATTTTCCTAGAAAGTGAGCTGCTTTTCTACTTCCAGTTTTCCTGTCGAAGTTAAAAGAAAATTGCCCATCATGTTTATATTTTTTGGGGGGGGAGCAGGACTTCTCATACCGGCTAGAGATATTCAGCAGTGAGTTCAATAACTGTTTACAAAAGCAGGTTTTAAAAGCTTTGCTGTCAGAAACTGAACATATAACTAGGTCTGTGTGCACAGCATTCTATGCAGTGCTGTTGTTCTTAAAACACCTACACATTCTGTTCCAAGTATATTCAGATTCTATGCATCTGGAAAACAGAGAAAACCTGTCTTCCTTTGCAAGAGTTTCTCAGCCCTCCTGCTAGCATGGTACAGAGTAGTCAGAATGTCAGCATAGGACCTGGGGGACTAGGGTTCAAATCCCTGCTCAGCCATGAAGCTCACTGGGGTGACCATGGGCCAGCCACAGTCCCTCTGCTTAACCTACCTCACAGGGTTGTTGTGATGGGGAGGGGCAGAACAATGTAGCCACCTAGGAGAAATGGTGGGATAGAGACGGAAAACAATAAAGAAGAAGAAGAGTGTGACTAGCCCAAGGTCACCCAGCAGCTGTATGTGGAGGAGCAGGGAATCGAACTTGGTTCACCAGATTACGAGTCTACCGCTCTTAACCACTACAACCACACTGGCTCTCAAACAAATAAAGGGGGGAGGTTCTCAAGGGTCTGATGATAGCAGGTGGACATTTGCTTCCCCACCCCCGAATGCCAGCAAGCCTAAACCCTGACCACTACCCTCCTTTTAAACCAGCATTCCCATCAGTGCTGAACTTTGAATTTCCCACAAAGTCCTTTAAAAAAGCCATTTCTCCAGAATTCAACCTTATGAGGCCGTGGACCCTATAAAGAATGGCTGTGGAACTTCCAAAAAGAGTGTTTGTGGGACTGAAACCGAATCATTCATAATAATAAATAATGATTGCACAATAAAAATCAGAATATCCACGAAGACATGAAATCAACAAAGCCACTCTTCTTCCCGGTCCTGGAGGTCATCCAACATCAAAGACTGCACCTTCCTCCAAAGCCAAACCAATCGCTATCGTATTAGTCAAAAGCCTTCTTACCTCCCATCCAAAGTTTGCTTCTTTCAACGTCGTCCTTGGAAAGGTCATGTAAGGCCCGAATCTTTCCCCAATTTCAATCTTCTTTTTGGTCCAGATGCCCAGCCCTGCCCCTGGAATGGAAGACTCCCTCAGCTCAAAGTCGGGCGGGATTGGAATGTCATCGGGGATGTAGACGGGAGCTTCGTACGGAGAGCCTTCCTTGGGGTTGAAGTCCTCTCCGGCGGGGAAAGGGGATGGCGGCCCCACGGGGATGGGGGACATGATGCTGTCCTCGGTCTCCTCCTCCCCGCTCTCGCCTGCTAGGAGGTCTGCTTCGGTTTCGTACATGTTGTTCACAATCTCGTTGTCACCTTGAAAACACACACACAAACAGAAAGGGATAAGCGGTGAGATCCTCTTCTCTTGGGCAAAGGGAATAGTCAAGCACTCCCTGGGTACCAAGGCAGCAAGATTAGCCTCAGAAACAGGCCTCTGTGGAACCAGTGGAGGACCTGACTGGCTTCATAAGGACTGCTGCTGCCCAGCAGAGAATACTGCTTCTTATGCCCTTTTAATATGTGTTGGGGGTGCATGTTATTGTTATTTTAGAGCCACCATACGCCTGTATTTCCCCAGACATGACCAGGATTTCAAAGGCAGAAGTGACATCCGGGGGGGGGGTCTAAAAGGTGGCGATTTGCCCTGGATCTTAGGCAAGTCAATGGAAAAATTGTGTATTTTTGGCATTTTTGTTAAAAAGAATTTGGGGATCTTCCTAAACAAAAAGCTCAACAAATTTTGGGGTGTCCTGGTTTTTTACTTTTTGAAAAATGGCAACTCTTGTGTTATGTTTTTTGTGCTTTTATATTTATATTATGTGAACTGCCCTGAGACCTGTGGGTATAGGGCGGTATATAAATTCACTAAATAATGATTTAAAAAATGCTAGTTGAAGATTGTGTTGACTCCATCAGCCACTGACATTGTTGAAAGAGATAGAAAGGACCAAGCTTTGCATGTGGAAGGTCCCAGCATCTCCAAGTAGGGATGGAACCCTGGAGAGCCTCTGCCAGTCAGTGTAGACCAAGGGTCTGAGAATAAGGGTAAGGCTAGGGATGAATTTGAGCAAGGAACACATGGGGACAGAGTGCTACATTTACTATTTCCCTCTTATATTTCTATGCATTCTAGCAAAGCAAAAGCCATGCATATATCAGCTTCGCAGGCCAAGATGTGTGCATCTGAATGAACTATGTAAGGCCATGTTTATTTTTTGAAAGCAAGGGCAATTCCTGAGTCACAAGCAACTCATCTTTGCAAACTTACTGGGAAAGTACATATTCCTTTATTGTTCAAAAAAAATATGCCCCCCCCTCTCTCTCCATCTCCCCCAACAATGTTATAGTCCTACCATGTTCCTGTAGTATAACCATGCCACCCGCAGTTCAGGCTTGGCCACAGACGCCATTCAAAATCCATGTCTGGATCTGGTTCAGTGAGTTACTCGAAAGGAGGTGAGCAGCCAACCTGCCCTTGAAGCCATGCCTCTCGCTTTTATGCCCTGCTCGGCAAGCCATAGAGAACAGTTTCTCCTTGAACACAACAGCATCGCCAGCATATGCACAACTGTACTCAGATGTAGGGATAGGTGAACGTTTCTGTTTTAGTTTATCTCAGTTACTTATCGTTCTAATTATAAGCTCATTTCCCCACATCTCCACATCAGTGTGTGTTTTTTTAATGAAAAGTCCTTGTGAAAATTAATCGGAATTTTAGTGTGAAAACACAGGTAGGTAGGTAGGTAGGTAGGTAGCAATTTTGCCAAACATACACAGTTTCACAAAGCAATTTGCACTAATATAATGCATTCTGGTATGTTATCTTCACCAACATATGTATTTATGTGCACACTTTACCCTGGTATATGCATTTTTGCAAGCATGTGGGACTGCCCTTGAAGCTAACCCAGAAGTTGCAACTAGTCCTGAATGTGGTGGCTCGACTGCTAACGTGTAAACTGAGTAGGTAAGTCAAAGGTTTGGTAAAGGACCTGGGCTGCAGAACAGTCATTGAAAAGTACTGAGTTCAATGAAAATTGGGTTTTTGACCATGAATCTAATTTCATTCAATACAGCAGGTTGGGTTAATAAGCTGACGGATAGGAATTTGTCAAAAAGAAACCGGGAGCTAGCTAGCTAGATATACGACTGAAGTTAAACTCGTCTCTCCACTGCAGTGTACATATTACTCGATTAAAAAAAACAAAACCCTTCACATCAGGAAGAAGGTTTGCCTGTGATTGAATCCTGGGTTACGGCAGGGTGGTGGAAATGTGCTTCTCGGTTTAATGGCTGCAGAAAAATAGATTCATAATCCGCTTACAAACAGAGCCCTTCAGGAACTATTTCAGATCTATTCTCTGCAGAGAAAACAAAAAGACCCAAACCTTTAAAAGTCATGTGGCTAAAACACTTATTTAATTTAGGAGCATTCAGAAGAGTAATTATGAGCCTACAAGTGGGTAGGGGTGTCTTTTATTTCTTCTTCCACTGATTTGTGCCTTCCGCTCACAAAAGCAGCAAAGAGCCGCAGCTGTTTCCCTCATGCACTAAAGTTCTATGTTGTTTGGGAGCAGAGGGAGAGAGAAAACACCCCCAGAAAACATTCAAATAGGACATATGCAGAACAAACGTAAAATTGCAAGGGAGAGCAATTAGCTGAATTAGTCAGAGTAAGTGACCACATCAAGCAAACCAACAATGCATCCGGTCAGGAGGGAGCACGGCACCCTCAGTTGCAAGGGAACTGTAGCACAGATGGAAGACACTCAGCACCATACAGGAATGAACCGTGCACTGTGTCCTCTGTTGTTACTTTTAAAGACACACACACACACAGGCTAAATACCCTTAATCTAGCAAAGTCGTTCTCCCTCCGCCCAACCCCAAGAGCAATTAGGAAATTAGTGTGATTATTTTAGCAGGCTGCAAATTGCGACACTTAAAACTGGGTTGCAAAGGAAGGCTGTAATTCCGCAGTCACCCGTTACATCCCCTTTCTGCTCTTTCGCTTGCTTGTTTGCTTGTTTTGCTAAAATGCATAGAAAGGGAGGGGGGAGAGCAACCTGTTCGATGAGCTTCTGAAGAAAAGTTAAAAATAACAATTCAATGGAAACCGCTAAATGTCTCTAGCTAGATTTCTGCGTTCTGCCGGATTCTCGAAGATGCTGGGTTGTCTGCAACTAAGTTTTACACAGAGCAAACCCACTGAAATCAATGGACCTGTGTCTGTTATAGGACTAACGTTGGATACAAACCGCTAGAACTCCATTGCCTACCTCTACCCCTGTTGACATGGACAGGCCATTTCTGCTACTCAAGGCAGTGGCTCCAAACCGCACAATACGTTTAAAGCACTCTGGTGCCACTTTGAACGGTGGTAGAAGAACCCTGGAAACTGTAGCTTGTTAAGGGTGTTGAGAGACATCAGGAGACTCCTGTTCTCCTTCACAGAACTACAACTCCTAGAATTCCCTAGGAAGACGGATTGGCTTTCAAATCATTCTGAGAGCTGTCCTAGGCGGAGATGTTACCAGAGATTGAACCTGGTATGCAAAAAGTGGATGCTCCATCACTGAGCTATGGCTCTGAGATAGCATGTTGCTCTATGAGCCTGGCAATGTGGAAAGGTACAGGTAGGGCTACGAGACCCAGACCAACAGTATATGTTAAGCTTTTAAATAAATAAATAAAAGCCTTTCATATGTGGCAATCGGCTGGGCTGTGTTCCCCCCCCCTTTCTCACTTTTTTTTGGGGTGGGGGAGGGGGGGTGGGGTGGGGAGAACAAATTTACCTTTCCCCAGCCCAGCCATCAGCTGCAGGCTCCCTGCTTTCTTTTGCCATATTTCCCTCCTCGCTCCCCGCACCCCCCTCCCCAGAATAACAATCCAACAACTGCCTCATTGTGGACTCTGGAGCAATGTGCGGGACTCCTAGCGAGAATATTAATGGCTGACCTCTGATGTAATCGGGGAAGGGGAGGGAGGGAAATAGCACCCGACCGAAATTGCAGTTTTCACTTCAGCGTGGAAAGGCATTTTTTTGTGCTGCCGAATAGGAGCAGAGCAGTTATAACAGCAGGGCTCGACTTTTAAGGAATGAATCTTTCATCCCTTTTATATTCTCAAAACGGGGCCTCTGGCCTCTGAGAAATATTCCCCTCCTTTTCTTTTGAGGCCTCATAAACGCTTATTCTGAAAATCATTGCTTTGGATCACTAAAGGGATAGGAAGGAAGATTTTTTTGTTGCGTGCATTCCGGGGCGAATGCATCTATCGCTTATGTACGTTTCCTTCAGCGAGAGAGAAAAAGAGAAAGAGAGCGAGAGGGAGGGGGAGAGAGAGGGCAATCTTGCTTACGCAAACATGCCCCCAGAAACAAGCCTTTCAGAAGCATTATACACCATAATCCCGAAAATACTTGTGGTTGCAGTAAATGTTTCTCCTCTGGGTATTAGCAAGTCAAATTATTTTCCACTCTATGATTAGCCCCCTTTGCACTTATGAAACAGGGATTCCAACCAGGCTGAGGAGGGAAGGCTGGGTTTAAGAGCAGAGTGAGACCATCGAAGGGGAACTTGACATGACAAGCTGCCCAGCTCCTGAGCAGTATTGAGGGTTCTTTTCTTCGCTGTTCCCTCTGTACTTAAGGGTGCCTAGAGGGTTGTGCGGCAACCTGCCTGAGAAATATCACTTCTCAAAACCAAACCTCTACAGCAATGACAAAAACCAACAGCTCCACCTGCTTCTCTGACCTTAACATTTCATGTGGTGTCAACTCCTGTCCCAAGTGTAATCTGCTTTCAGAGTTGGAATCAGGGGTTGGCATCATTGACTGTCTGCTGACGTCCACACCCTGTCAGGGAAACACAGGTATCTACCTTATACCAAGGGATGCGGGTGGCGCTGTGGGTTAAACCACAGAGCCTAAGACTTGCCGATCGGAAGGTCGGCGGTTCAAATCCCTGAGACGGGGTGAGCTCCCGTTGCTCGGTCCCTGCTCCTGCCAACCTAGCAGTTTGAAAGCACGTCAAAGTGCAAGCAGATAAATAGGTACCGCTCCGGGGGGAAGGTAAACGGCGTTTCCGTGTGCTGCTCTGGTTCGCCAGAAGCAGCTTAGTCATGCTGGACACATGACCTGGAAGCTGTACACCAGCTCCCTCAGCCAATAAAGTGAGATGAGCGCCGCAACCCCAGAGTCGGCCACAACTGGACCTAATGGTCAGGGGTCCCTTTACCTTTTACCTTATACCAAGTCAGACCATTGGTCTATCTAGCTCACTACTGCCTAGATGCTCCTGGGTTTTAGGCCA